TCTCCAAATTAAAATCATGCATGTATTATTAGTGTTAAAAATAAAAATAAAATTTTTTATGTTTCTATACAAATTAGTGAAAAAATATGTGATTTAATAATGTTATTAAGTTTTTTAAGAAATAATAAATTTTAAATTATAATATTGATTATTGTAAATTAAAATTAGAGTCTTGATCAATGTAAATTAAAATTATTATCTTAATTAATTATTACATTTGATATAGAATTTAAACTTCAAAAACAAAATGTTTCAAAAAACAAAAATATATGTATTATATTTAACATTTTTTAAAAGTTTAGGGGATAACTTGTCTAAACCAACTTGTCTAGACAAACGGGATGTTTGTAAAGTAGACCATTTTAAAACAAAATTAATAACTAAAGTGAAATAAACCATATAATTAATAGACTATTTATTGAATTTAGCAAAAAAAATAATAGTGAAAGTAAAATATTTTATTTTTGATTTTATGGGACTAGTTTGGGACTATTTAATTTTCTCTACCCTTCTTTAGAGTGAAAAAGGCGAATCGCACTAGGCTTATGAGTGCACAATTAATTGTTAAGGTCACATAAAATATTATATGTGTATTTTATTTATTTAATTTTATTAATTTATAATTATTTAAATATTTAAAAGTATTAATTTATAAACTAATTATATACTAAATATCAACTTTTTTTTATTAAATATTAACTTATAATTATAGTTATCAATTACTTTTAATAATCAAACTAAATGCACTTATAATTTTTTTTTATGGCCATAACATTGATTTCAACATGTAGGAAGTGTAAGAACAATAAAGTGTAATTTTTTAGAGTGACACAAAAGTTGGGAGGTTTCAATAGAAATTAGAGTTATGATATAATTATTTACACATATTATTTATATAAAATTTTAATTATTAAATTATATTGAAAAGGGTCGTGCTTAGGATTATATTCATTGTTTACTTTTCAATAAGGTAGAATTGCTTCTATAGGATCAAAATTTGGACAATTATCTCCTAAGGATAAACGTTGCAGCACTACTCATGAAAACATGATTTAACCGAACCATAAGAAATGTTATGGACCAATCACCATCACCCGTGAGCCGATTGGAAGGCCATTAACCTCTCTACCTTTTATGCACAAAACACAGTCCGCTCTACTCTTTGCCCTTCCGTCAACCTCAAGTTAACCTCTCTTTCCAAACCTTTAATGGCAATATTTCTATAATTAACTTTTAGGGTAATTTTGAAGATTGACCTAAAATTGAATCTTGTCTTTTTATTTGAAAGGTTTATAAGCAGTGAACACAAAAAAAAGAAAAAAAAAAAAATCAAATTTCTTATTCAATCGGCCTATTAGAAATAAAAAGAAAAAAAGTAGAGATTAAAAATGTTTTATACAATTTGAATTGCATTAAACTGCACAAAATTAACTATTAAATTGAAAGATGTTCTTTGAATACGAGAGCTTTTCCTCAATCTAATATTAATTTTTTACAGTCTAATATAAATCATATTGTTTCCCTAAAAATCGTCCTCATGGTTACTATGTAGTAGAAAAGTGCAGACATGTCACTTGTTTTGCTCAAAGAAAGAAAAATAGATTTACTTGATGACCCTCTTGTTCCAAGTAGCCAACCTCCATGTAGGATGGTTGGAAGAATGTCAATTATGTGTTGAACACGCACTTCAAATTAGATGATATTGTAAAAAGAATCGACAATTTCCTACAAAATGAGTTACAAGTTCACCTTAGACAGCCCTAAGAACTTCTCACATTTAAAATCATAATAAAGTTTGTTAATTAATTAAAATAAGAAAAAGGGAGAGAGTTGGTAGAAGATAAGAGTGCATTGGAGAACTTAAAGGCAAACTAGAGCTAAAGTAAACTACAAATCTCAATATATTAGGCAAATCTAATTAAGCAACTATTGGTAGGCTTTAATTAAACTATTTGCAGAAATGTAATGTAAACTAAGTGCTTCAAAGGTAAAATGAAGTGACAAAATACAAGGCTATTGGGAAATGTTAATGCAAAAGAGGGAACATTTATATTGGACTCCATGTGCTGCCCACTATCTTGATTTGATTTTGAAAGACTTTGAAAAGAAAATAGATGTCCTCCATGAAACCATATCAAGGGGAAGAAGGATTATAGTCTATATTTATACGAGGACTGTTGATTAATATATTAAAAATTTTCACAAAAGGAAGGGATTTGATTAGACCAACAACAACTAGATTTGCCATTTCATATCTTACTTTGGCTTGTCTTCATGAGCTTAAAGGAGGATTAATGACCATGTTCTCTTCCAACACATGGAAGTCTGATAAATTTGCATGCACAAAGGGTGGGAAGCTGGTGGAGAGCACGATCTTAGATGGAAGTTTTTGGGAAGATATCACTATATGTCTTAGAGCTACTGGCCCCATAATTAGAGTTCTAAGATTGGTGGACTTAGAGAAAAAACCAGCAATGGGTTTTCTTTATTATGAGATGGAAAAGGTAAGAGAAAAGATCAAGATTAACTTCAACCATGTCAAGAAAAAGTAAGTTGCAAAACCCCTATAAAATGGAATTGATTTATTATATATATTATTATTTATTATATATGTTATTATTTTTGCTTATATTATATTTATATGTTTTAATTTAATTGGTTTATTTCTTACATCTTGTGGCTATGAACCTATCTTGAAAATCATTGATGAAAGGTGGGAGTTGCAACTTCACAAGCCTTTACATGTTGCTGCCTATTATCTTAGTCCTCATATTCATTACAATCCAGATTTCAATGATGGATTTGCTATAAAACAAGCCTTGTATGCTTGCTTAGAAGATTAGTTGCTAGTCGTGAAGAAAAAACTAAGATGGATCTGCAACTTGAAGAGTTCAAGAATGAAAGAGGCATGTTTGGCATTCCAACTACAATGTCAGTAAGGACCAAAAGGCACCTGATATGTGGTGGGATTCTTATGAAGATGAAACCCCTGAGTTGAAGATATTTGCCATGTGTATTCTTAGCTTGACATGTAGCTCTTCGAGATGTGAGCAGAATTGGAGTGGTTTTGAAATGATATGGCACTTATTGTTCATTTATATTTATATTTTTAAAAAATAAGTATGAACTTATCAGTATGCCTTTTTAATTTTCTATTGCATTTTGTTTTACCTTATTTGCATCTTTATTTCATTCTCCTTTCTAGGTGCGTACTAAAAGGAGAAACTGCTTGCACCAAAAGAAAATGAATGATTTGGTCTTTATTATGTACAATTTAAAATTAAGAGAAAAGAAGGCACTGAGGAATCAAAATATGGAATTTGAAGATCTTTCAGTTGATGATGAATGGTTAGTTGAAAATGATGTTGACCAATTCATTGAAGATGAAATGGAAGACGCTTCTGGTGGTGGCCAACTATAAAATAAGATTGAGAATAACAGCAATGAAGATTCAACTGATTTAGAGAATGACAATGTTCCTCGCTTTGACGACGATGGTCATTGTGGCCATGACATTGAGCTTGATGAATATAGCATTCATGATTTATTTTAGTTTGTCTTAATAAGTTTAAACAATTACTATTTTTTTGTTATTTAATTTCATTTATAGTTAGTTTAAATGTTTAACTAATGATTTATGTTAAACTAATTTATTTGTTTCTGTTAAATTTTAATTAATTAATTCTAAGTTTTCAACTCTAAATTTAATTT